CCCACTTCTTTCATGCTTGATCCTTATATCATGCCCACCATCTACATCCAACTTCCTGCTACTTAACTGTCGCTGCATGCCGGAGTCCATTTTTTTGGCTGGGCTGAAATCAACTGATGATGAGGCAGAATAACTTCCATGCCCAGTAGAACTTCTGAAGCTGTTTACACTCCCTCTTGCAAGAGATATATCATCATAAGATATGGTCGTGGCAGTAAAAGTCCTGCCTTGAACTACCGGTCCTTTGCTGCTGCTTGACCTCTTCAGCAATACAGATATGCCAGCTCCTCCCAAGAGGTCCATTTTTGAATTTCGGCGATCATTGTGGTGATACAACTGCTGGTCCCCAACATTACTATAAGGATTTCTGCCATCAGCTCCTGATTGGTCCATGTCTAACTGGTTGGCGGGCATCTCGCCACTTCCCTCTGCTGCTGAGCTTGGAGGAGGAATTTGTTGTGACTGATCCTGGATTACCTCACTGTATGACGTTTGGCTTCGTTCAGCACCTCTCTCACCATCCACATTGGTATCTTGAGGCAATTCACATGAAACCATTAATTGGTCAGTTTCAGCTCCTGGTTTTTCTTCAGTGGACCCATTAGTAGAAAACATTGAAGAGTCTTCGGCGACAGCCAAAACTGTCTCCTGGGGGATGACTCTCAGCATTGTATACTTCCCACTGCATTCTGGACAAAGTCTAACATCCTTCTCTGTTTGATCAGAGGCCTCATATCGACAACCACATTGAGAACAGATTGCTGTATTTTCAAAACCATCAGTTTCCATAATATCAGTTTTGGCATTGGTAGTTTCTGAACTTTCAATGGTGGCAGCAGCAATACCATGGTATAAGGACTCTTCAGCTATAGTGGGACCGCAATCAATCTTAGAGCCTTTACTTTCATTAAGATGTGCATCAACTGATTCATTGGCGATCTCATGCCCAGTATCAGCATTCATCACATCATCCTTATCAAAGGCAAAGACTTCTTCATGTATATCAGGATATGGTATTTTCTCAGCTTCACTAGCCACATCATCCTGGTTGTGATCACTCCCTTCAGTATCAAGTGCAATACTTGTACCTTGATCAGAGCTGGCGTTGCTGCTTGTTGTGATTGAGGAATTCCTGGATACCAGAGAATTATTGCGAGCAGAATTTGCTTTTCCAACATAAAAGGTAGTACTTGGCACACTTGACAAAAGTGGCCTGAACATGTTCTGAGGACTTTTTCGATCCTGCACAACATTGAATGGCGTCTGCGATGAGTTAGAACTTTGATTACTATAAAAAATTAACATACATTTAATAAAATAAATCATGATAAAGGGAGACCGGGAGATATTGCAAATGTCTAGATCTGAATCCAATAGATTAACACCAAATATTTTCTAATTAATCTCTTACCAAACATTTTATAAGCACCTCTGGCACTATAAGTATCAAATATGCCAACCAAGAGAACACGCTAATAACTCATGCTTGATCAGGCATCTCACTTTATTAATTTGAAATAAATTCACTTTAGGCATCTCACTTCAGTGCAACAATAAATCCAACCTTCATCGTTAATTAATTTGAAATCAATTACTAAGAATAGTTGACTTATCATATACAATGTACAAGCAGGCATCCAATATCATCATTGAAATGGAAAATCTTAGATAAATTCGGGATTGTGTCTGAAATTATTTTATAAATAAAACAAACTTTTGCGAAGTTCCTTTATTGGCGTGCAGAGAGAATCACAAATTGAATGAGTACACTTTATCATTAATTGCTTCAGTAGAAATAGACAGCATTTTTGTGGCAAAGGATTCATGAAGAGAAACTGCAGTGTGCGTGTGTGCTCACATGTGTGAATGCATGTATAAGTGGGTAAGAGACCTAGGAACAAGGATGACTGTCCAAACTAATTGATCTTGTAATGGTATGACAAATTAAGAATTGAACACTTTCAAAATCGATTGTCAACAAATTTGGCAGTATTCCATAAAGAGCTGAAAGTATATTATTTTAATTAAATCAAATATTAGAATACCATTTGGCGAAGGGCAGGGTCAAATGATCTTTTTGGAGCAGAATTTGGAGACACCGTTTTGGCAGTCTTCTTGGAAATGGCAGGAGTTCTGTTATTTATAACTGAGCTACTCCTTCTTGAACTTAGCCGGTCTAAACTACCCACTTGGATGGACTGTATAGAGTCAGTATCATCATCACCAGATGATGCAATAGAACCTTTGCTGCGTGAGCTAAATCGGTCTCTATCATGACTATGAAATGAGCTACTGCTTCTAGAAGCAGTTGGAGACATTGACTGCCTACTGTATCTAGTGGTAGGATCCTTTCCATTCCTGGATGCAGGTGATGAACCCCTCACATATGATGCTGGTCTGTCAGCCAGAGAGGTTCGAAGATTTGGGGGAGCTTCAGAGGAGAAACCAGGGATATTAGTTTGCCATGCCCTTATCTTTGGTGAAGCAGAGTTTCCACGACTTGTCTTGACTGGGGAAGTTCCCCTGATCCCTGATACAGGCCCATTGGAGCCAGTGCTCATTCTCCTAGGAGTAGGAGTAGAGGACCTCGGTGCAGGTGTTGAAGGCTTATTTGGAGGAGTAGATGGTCTTCTTGACGGAGTAGCATGCCGCAAGTTTTGAGTTGGGCTGGAATTGGACACTGATGATGGCCCAGTCCGTGACTGGGATGTGCTATTTCCAGTACGAGGAGATGGACTAAGGCGATTTGGACTTGCACTCCCCCTGCTACTTCTGCGACTTCTTTCCATCTGAACGGGGTAAACATCCGATATGAGATAAGATTTTTCCTGACTGAATACTTAATTAGTGACACATAAGATTGTCTTATTATTGCTATGCAATAACTAGGACTCAATGTTTTATAAAGATTGGGGTATTTTATCAAGATATATTTCAGATTTACCTTGAATAAGGATTAATCAGGATTTAATAGGAATTACCTTATTTTATCACTATCATCTTTTAAGGATTATTTTAGCTTTAGATTTTATTATTTTAAGTAATCATACCTAGAGCTTTACGAATAACTCTAAGGTTTCTTAGTTGTCAGGCCTCTTTTGATGAATTGAATAAAGATGAAAATTGTGCTCACTCTCTCCTTCAAGTTCTTCTTTATCCCTCAATTTCTCTCAATTTCTACCTCCTTTCTCTTCTCTCTCCCCTCCCCCCTCCCTATTTTACATCACCTTCTATGCTTCAAGAGCATTTACTTGAAATGAAAAGAGTATACAATTATGCATAATGTAATAAGATTCAAAAGCTCACCGTAGAAGATCTCGATATGGAAATGGGTTTACTCTGAGGCCTTCCCCGGCTCGGAACATTGATTGGTGGTGGCTCATCCTCATCTAATGAAGGAAAAAGTGGTGTGTCTGGGGGCGTCAGTAACCTTGAAAAACAATAAACAAAGTATTAGAAAACTAAGCATTGCACACCAGAAATCACTTTATGCACATCAAAGTCTCAAGCCTCGCTTTAATAGTTGAACTATGGACCTACAAAAAATACAGGTGTTGAAGTGGAATAATGACGAACCCAAATGCTTGGCTTTGAATCATGTAAAGGACTGTATCATCGAACATCATTTAACACCCCCCCCCCCCAAAAAAAAAGAATCAAAAAAGGGAGAAAAGCACAACACACCAGTCATAGTCATTCTTGTCACCGTCTGCATTAAGCAGTCCGCTGCTTTCTCCTCGACCAGGAACGGAGATTCCAAGCTTAATATCAGAAAAATGTCTCAACTTCACAGCTGTAAATTAGAGGTTAAGGCAAAAAGGAGAAATGCATGATTATTACTCAAGAAAAATGTACCAAAACCACATATAAGTTTTGTTTTAGGGTGCCCTTAAGAAGATTACAGAATGGGTCTTCAACGGTATCTGATGACTGAAGCAAAAAATTCTCTGATTCTCTGGACTGCATTTCATTGAACAAAGCAAGATCATCATCTTTCTCCCTGTAGAGTAATCCACCTTCAAGACTGCGCCCACGCTTGTGGCTGACTGTTTTTGGCTCTCTTCCAGGAGAGAATCTCAATGCTGGGGAAGGAGGCATTTCCGCTACCCAAGATTGTACTAGAGAAATGTCACCTGGAGCTCTCCATACAGCCCAAAATCGATGACCTACAGAAGTCTATAGTGCAACCCAGAATTGACATATAGCTCGAGCTGATTAGAAATTCAAGCCCCAACAATCAGTTTTGGCAGCAACCGCACTCAAACTTGTACGCCAGTTGCTGTCCTCTCGACCTTCAGTTTAACTCAATCCAAACACGCATTGACCTGACACTCAGTGTGATCGAGTCAACTGGAGCGCATATATCGCAAGAATGCAAGTAAACATGCAAAACGGCAGGAGCAACTGTACCATTCATAAAACAAAGTCTTAAAAGCCAAATGTAACAAATATCCGAAACCAAATTGATAAATTCATTCTGCAAATGTCTAAGAGTCGGAAACCCTAGAACATTTGCCATTTGCAGATCACAATTTGCACTATTCTCACTGAAAAGAGGGTCTAAGTCAAACAAAAATTCAACTTCACTGCCCATTAAGTAAGCATTGAAGTTCGAAGTACAAAGTGAAACCCACCACTGCAAAGCAGCAGACAGGACATGACTTACCAATTTCCCAATTCAAATTGCTTCAAACACGGAATGGAAGCTCGAAGAGTGCGCTTAGGATCCCAAGTTCGAAGATAAAACAGAGCTCAAATGCCAATTACAATGCGACGAATTCTGTTTCAGACAGTCGGATCTATAGCATTCATGACCTGAAAGTGGCGACCAAAGTACAGATCGAAGCTTTACAGGAATCGGACGGTTGCAACAAACCCAAAATTTTCTCGCATTCTCTCTTCTATAATTCTTTTTGCTAAAAAACAATTCAGAAGTGAAAATTAAGAATATCCAAAACCTCTTGTTGCTGTCGTCTGATATGCTCCTTTCCGCAACAAGAAGCATTCTTTTAAAATAATAATAATTTTTTAATTTCTGCTTATCCCGTATTATTCATTTATTTTTATATTAGGTTATCTAAAACATAAAGCTTATAGATTAATTTTAATGTAAGAAATAATAAAGCATATCAATTTTTTTTCTTCTGGCAAACTTTCATTTTTCATTGTGGAATACGTTATTTCATATATTTGGAAAGGTTAGCTTCTTTTTTACCTGTTTGATTAGATACAACATTTTCAGGCGGAAAAAATACATTACTAAAAAATTCTCTTCTTATTGAAAAGTTTTTAATTAGTTTATTATTTGTTAAATTTATATCCAGCATGTCATTTATTTTTTTTGTTTATCACTAACTAACATGTCCCTTCTAATCATATACTTGTCCTTTTTTTTTTAATGGATCTATAATCATTTATTTGCTGAAACATTCAAAATTCAAAAGTAAAACCATAATACTATATGGTTTCACTTTACAATTATAATGGGTAATTTTTTTGGACATCACTTTATAATTGGTATGGTTCAAAACATGTGTGGGATCATTTAATGCCCAATTGTGTTCCAACTTTTAAAGCAAAGGTTGGTCGTTGTACAAGCAATGGCTTGGAAATTGATAGCCACCAATTATTACTTTTACGTACAAAAATACCATACTAAATTTCTGTCCATACAAATATATGAATATATATATATAATTCAATATAGATCCTCCTTATTATTATGTTTGATTTAATTCTTCAAGATTAGTTGAGTGTCAAGGATAAGTAATTAAAGTCACCATTAAATGCTAATTAAATATCTATTTATTGCCAATATTTTCACAATGCATTAGTATAAAGTATAAATCCTTTCATGAATTTCTCAAATGTGGTACATAAGTGATTTTATTTAAAATTGCAGCACAAACATGATTTTTTTAATGCATTATAGCAGGGGTCCCAAACTTCATCCTGGTGACTTGATCACACCAAAATAATATTCTAAGTTACTAAATTTTTCCCTTATTATAATACATGCATTCAATTTTTATTAAATTTCAAAATTCAAAATAATGAATGATGAATTGTCTCTTTTGTGCTGCTTTTGGTTTTTTAGGCTTTTATTCAAAATTATTTATTTCTAATTATATGAATTGACAAAATAAATGAAATAAAACTCAAAAGTTTTCAGACTATGTAATGCTGATTACTATCAAAATTCATGACGTTACACAAAAAAGGGACACAATTTTGTGAACTGTATAATTTTCACTGGAATAATAAAAATATTTTAGGATAAAAATATCTCTTTTACTGGGAATAATATAACGAAATGCACAAAGTGAGGAAGATTAGCCAGACTGTCTAAAACAAAGTGCATTGAACAATCACATTCAAAGGCATCGTTTTGGTGAGCTTAACATGTTAAACAAGTAATGCGTCCTAATTAGTCATATTTGGAGCCTCAAAAAGTCTTTTTCTAGAAACAACAAAAAAACGAGTTGTAATAGTGAACAAGTTTTATATTATATAATATATATATATATATATATATAGGTGCCAAATATTGTTTTAAAAAAAATATAAATGCCAAACAATAAAGCCGAGAAAATGAGAAAGAAACTTGAGAATAAAGGAAAGAAAAAGAAAGGGGTTATGTGGGACATAGAAAGATAAGGTCAACATAACAACTACGTTATGATTAGCTAATTGCTAGCTGTGTGTGTTTGGGTTGCACTATTAGTTAATCCATAGATTAATTATTATTATTGTTATTATTATTATTATCATGTCACTTTAATTGGAGGGTGAGACAAAAGGATACTTCAAAAGCCCTCACGCTAATCATTTCATTTTGATCATTTTATTTATATATCCCCACACAGCTCATTTATTTGGTTCTAACCTCATTTAATTAATGAACTTAGTTGCATCATTATTTTTAATTTATTTTTTCCTTGTAGTTTTTTTTTTATAATTATTTCTTATGTGATGGCATGGCATTATGTTTATGTTGGATTCTATGGATTTTAAAATTAATTAAAGGTGGTTAAATAGAACTTTTTTAAAGCAATAGAACCAACGGTCATGACCCTTTTTTTTTTTTTAATTTCAAGTGGACAAATAAATAAAAGTTATAGTAGGTCTACAATAATTAACAATTGTACCTCCCAAAAAAAAAAACATCTGAGTATATAATAGAATGATCCGGCTGATAGTTTGGATTCTTCAAATTATTAAATTAATAATTAAGTAAGAAAGATGCTTTGGGGCCGTATTCCCTCAAATGTTTAAGTGTTTTGAGTTTGAATAGGGAAATAGAAATGGGATGGATTTGCATATCTTCCGCTTTTAATTTAATATCTCTTCTGTCTTTTCACTTGGCAAACCAAATAATTGAGGGGGGAAAAAAGAAAAACCTCGTCTCTTACTCTCATCTCTCGCTCTCCGACCGCAAATCTCTCTCACATGATCAATTTAAATTTAATTAGCAATTAGTCTAATTTGATATTTAATTTAATCCTAACTATAAAATATCAATCCATTTTATATATCATATTTATCTATTTTTTCTCAAAATAATCCTCATAATAGTTATTAAATGTTATATCAAATGGTTATTCTAACTAATATATATGATTAACAATGATATTTTGAAAAAGATAACACTTAATTTTTTATGAATAACTAACTTAACAAAATTTTTTAATTTACTTAAATTAGTCAACTAACTCTTATATTAACAATCATGATAATATATTTCTATTCATCCTTCTTCAATAAATGGATAAAAGTTAGTTAAGCACTTAACGACCAAAAAAAAAAATTCAAGTCTCAATGATATGATATGAGGAAATAATTTGTCACTTCCTCCAACTTATAAGACCCTTTTAACTATCTCACCAGAATTAAGGAAGGATGATTGTGTATTCATCATTCTTCATTTAAGTTTGTTAAGCTCTTAACGGCAAAAAAAAAAAAAATCAAGTCTCAATGATATGATGTGAGAGAATAATTTGTCACTTTCTCCAACTTATAAGACCCTTTTAACTATGTCACCAAAATTAAGGATGGATGATTGTGTGGTTAACTTTTAGCTCCTTTGGAATTAAGATTATAAACACATTTTATATAAGTAAAGATAAAACTTTTATTATATATTTATTTTTTGTTTTATAAATTACGATTGAAAAACTATTTGTAAGGCATTTCAAATTGGCCTTATCTAAAAATGAAATAAACTTCTAACAATATCCATATTTAAGTGAAATTTTTTTCAAAATTGTACATATTACTCTTTCTGATTCTAAATATAAGACCCATTTTGTAGTGTAATTACTTGATATATTAATTAAGTTTTTCTTCTATTATTACTTATATTTAAAGTCATTAACAATCATAAATATAAGATCTATTTTGTAGTGTAAAAACACTATAAAATGAGTTTTATATTTAAGACCGGAGGGGTATATTTTATTGTTAATGACTTTAAATATAAGTAATAATAGAAGAAAAACTTAATTAATATCTCAAGCACCTTATATTTTATTACAATCGATCTCTTTTACAGGGGGTCTTGTAGTAAAGATATGAAGGAGTACATTCTTAATAATGTAAGCATGAAAAAGAATAGTTTGTAACAAGTGCATAAATAGAATATATATTTTAGAATTACATATTTATATATAAAGGAAAATATAAATATAGATATAATATCTACATAGCTCTTAGGGAAAATTAAAGGAAAGCATTTAGGAAAAATGATATTTATTGAAAAAGACCATAAAAATTGTAATTATTTATTTATAAGGACAAAAATCTAAAACATAAATTTACAATTACTAAATTGCCCCAAGACTCCTTGCCTCCCCGAGTTGACGCCACCATCTTCTTTCCCATCTGGTGACTTCCCCTGAAAAGCTTCCCACTATTCTCTCCCTTCTTCTCTCCCACTGGCCGTTCCTCACTTCCCCACCAACACCGCATCACTTTAGCCGTTAGATTCACTCATCACTGTCACACCCAACTATGCAATTTATCAACCCGGGGGGGGGGAATCCTCTATTTTCCCCCATTTGATCCAAAATGAGTTGCTGGGTCGGCATTGTAGAAACCTGAAGCCTCACCTAGACGGCTTAAAAAACCATGTCCCACCGCCACCTCATATATCAAGTCTCCCATTTTTGCCGGCGGAGGGAAAAAACACAAATGTCCACCATTCAATCGCAAGATGACAAATCGTAATTCAACGACCTGCAACAGGTTTCTTCCAGACCTCAAGTTCCATTCTCCCTACAAGAGAGCAACATTCGAATGCCCATTGCATGACCTCTGCCTGAGAAATTGGGTTCAAACAAATAAGAAAAGGCCTAATCAAGGGCCTGCCGGAGTCCGCCGTGATGGCAGCCAGAAATCCAGAAGATTACCATCCACGAGGGTGAATCACAGCAGGGCTGTGTTTGAGGGCAATTTAGTATTTTAAGATTTATATCTTAATGTTAGGTCTTTGTAAATAGTGTAAATATAATTTTTAATCCATCGAGTTTATTCTCATTTTGATTTTACTCTTAGAAATTTCAAATCATATGTTTTGGTTCCTCAAATAGTAAAATTGTTCAAGTTTTTATTAGGTTATAAGAAGTGATGTTTTGAATAAAAAAAATTTGAGAGACCAAAACTTATAATTTGAAACTTGAAAAACTAAAATAAAAATGAGAGTAAACTTAAAAGATAAAAGTTTGTATTAATATTTTTAAATAATTGATAAATATAATTTTCTACACATCCTTCGTTATAATTTTCCCTGGTTCTTTTATTTGTGTGCGCGCGTTTCTGGCGCATGCATGCATGGAAGCAAGATTTTTATTGGGGCAAAACAACATGAAGATGGTTTAATTTAAAAGAGACAGGGGTATCACCCTGTCGTTATATCCATTTTCCTGATATTTATTATTTAACATTTTACTTATATTTGTTTGGGAGCCTCCATATATTTAAACGAATTTGAGATGGCATCATTCATTGTTTATTAAAAGTATAATCTGTTATAAATTTAATATTTTATATTATCGTGATAGTGATGATATGAATTAATATTTTCTTTTATGTAATTCTATGTAAATATACACTAGTTAAATGATATATATACGTTATACACAAACCAAATTACCAAAAAAAAAAGGCAAAAGACAAGTATTGAGATTAATACTAAAAATAAATTAAAATGTATTTTTACTTTTAGAAAGGTTTTCTTTATTTTTAAATGAAACCAAAATACATGATTTTTTATCTAATTTAAATTTACAATAATAAAAATAATTTTTGAGACTCTAATATATGATATTTGGAAAATCCGTAGTATACTACTATCTCCGGTCCTTACTATAAGATTTTGTTTGACTTTTATTTTGATCATAAATATAAGATTCCAATCCACTTTGTCTCTCATATTTATACATTTTTTTTCAAAGTAGTCCTTTTAACAATGGTAGTTCTAACTAATACACTTGATTAGCAAAGATATTTTAGGAAAGACAACACCTATTTAGAACAAATAACTAACTCAACTTACTTCTTTAATCTCTTCAAATTAGTTAACTAGCTTTTATAATTAGGACTGGAGGTAGTATAAAAATTTGGGTTAAGGCGCGTCCAGCACCCCAAATATTTACCCAGGTGCGTCCAGTGGCCTAAAGTAATTTTGGGTGCATCTAGTGTCCTAAACTAATTAAAATGGTGCGTCCATATCCCAGACTAACAGAAATGTTATGTTTAACTGTTACTTTCATGAATTAGCGTAAAGTTGACCCCAAATATTCTAAATAGCAGATATATGGACATTTGATGTGTATTATTCTTACTCAAAATTGAATTTATTTTCTTCCTCTTCGTCTAAATAAATTGACTTTTGAGTAAGAATAATACACATCGGGTGTCTATGTGTCTGCCATGTAGAATATCTGGGATCAACTTTAAACCGAGTCAGGAAAGTAACAATTAAACATAACATTTCTGTTAACCGGGAATATGGACGCACCATTTTAATTAGTTTAGGACACTGGATGCACCCAAAATTACTTTAGGACACTGGACGCACCTGAGTAAATAGTTCGGGGTGTTAGACGCATTTAACCCTAAAAATTTAGTAGATATAGCTTACTTTTCTGATGTAATTTAACGCCTATTTTGATTGAAGATGTAATTTAATTAGCACTTTAATCCTTTTATCCTGTTGTCTAATTTGTCTTTTTCTTTTTTTCCTGGAAAATTTAAGACAGTACCAAAGAGACGTCAGTTGAATTGGTCCATATCTTAGAAAGAGCAAAATGTTCAAATTCTCCTAGCATTAATTAAACAATTTGAAATGTAAAGTTTAAGATTTAATTCGCCTAACCTTTTATTTAAAAAAGAGAAAAATATTTCTAAATTGTTTTTGAATTTTTTATATTTAAATATAATTTAATAATTTTTATTATAGTTAGCTTAAACTTTTAAATGTATTTAAATTTAAATGAGTTATTTAACATTTTATATAGAAGGAGGGGACAAACCATAAACGACGTCGTCGAATATCCCCGGTTCTCCCTGGCTGCAAGCAGCACCACGGAAGCTGGGTTTAGCGGGTGCGCACTCGATTATGTGGGCGGTTCAACGAGCTCGTGCATTCCTCTCTTCTTCGACGGCGTCGTCATTTTCTTCGTCGTTATCGGAGGCTCGACCATCATGGAGGCCAGGGTTTTCGTTTTCAGACTTCAAATATGCTTCCTCTTCGTCCGTCGGTGATGGCCCTAATAAGGGCCTTTTGGATCTGCAGGAGATCGAGAAGGTTCTGGGCGATGTCAGAGCCGACGACGTCAAGGTCATGCCGGTTCCCAAGCACTGTGATTGGGCGGATTATATGGTGATTGCCACTGGCAGGTCGACCTGGCACGTCAAGAACATTGCTCAAGCTCTAATTTACCAGGTAGGTCCCTTGGTTCAGTTTTTTGCAATGCCATGCTTGTCTCTTGTGTATTAAATTTATCGGAAATGGACAGAGGGATGGCTAGTTTGGTTGAAACCACTGCGGTTGCACAAAGATAGAAGGAATCAGGTCCAACTTCAAAACTCTGGTTCAGAGTAATTAGACTGCATAAATAATTGAGCATACGAATTTATTTAGTTCAATTAAGGTTGCTGATTTACATGTCTCCTGGTGTGTAGTCTTTCTATGACCGTTATCCTTGCCATAGCCACCAAAAAAAAAAAAACTTCTGAGAATTTGAGTGAACTAGGTGGAGGACAAAAATTAACTTACAAGAAAATATTATGCTGGGTTGAATTGAGATATTGGCTATTAGGTATGGTTATTTTCTGTGTTCTGTATTTATCCGTTCAGAGAATAATGCTCACCATCCTTTCATGTTCTGTGCTTATGTGTAACCAGTCTAAGCAGAAGCAGAGAGGAGCTGAACGAATGGTGCTACCTAGTGTGGAAGGTCAAAAGGGAGGAAAGTGGATCGTAATTGACTCTGGTATCTGATGATGCTTTGTCTCTTTTTTTTTTTTTTTAAACTTCTGAAATGGGTTAGCTGATTAATTTGGGACAACCACAAAGTTAAAAACTAAGGCAGCAAATTGTCAGGGATGACAGGAGGGATAATAACCTGTTATAGGCATCGTACCATTCAATAACATTGTGTAACTGAAGTTGAGGACGATTTTTTTTACTATGCTCTGTCCGTGATAAGGAAGCTTTTTTTTTTTTTTTTAATTGGAGCTAGAGAACCCCCTCCCCTCCTAAAAAAGGGTCACATACTAGCTAAGTTGACTTTTCTTCCCCCAAACATTCCTATTTCCTCCATGTGAGTTCGCAAATATTCATTTTAATGATATCTGACAATTGGGATTATCAGCTGTTATACTGGTCCTTAAATTTTATTGCAGAAACAATTTGAAATACGTTAGTGGGTCCTATATAACTTGCTAGATCTAAACATGCCTTGATTTTCCCTTATTGATTCAGGTAGAGTTATAGTTCATGCTCTTGATGAAAAGGCCAGAGCTTATTACAATTTGGAGTCTCTTTGGAACTCAGAGACATTGGACAAAGAACCTGTACGTGTTTCTTGGGCTTTTGTTGCCCCCCCCCCCCTTCGGGGGGATATTATGTAACATTGTTCTGTTCTAAGTATACTGGATTCATAAATCCAGGGTAACTAAATTGAAGCTTCGCTAATTTATTCTAGGTAGTATCGAAATTTGATTTAAATAGGCGTCTTGATTTTTTAAATTACATCTAAAATTAACATAATTCTAATACTTCTGACAAAAAATTTTCAATTCAGTTTAGCATCGTTAATTGGATAATGGTTCATGCTCAGTAACACCTTTTATGAACTTGTTCAAAGCTGCATATTGGTCTGGATTTTCATGGGATGTCGAAGTGAACTCCATTTCGGTGTCTGAGGTCTGTATTTCTGTTTTCAGGATTTGGGAAACGCTTTGGTTAAGATCCGCAGGAAAAACAATTCTAAGAAACGAGCACAAAGGAGTGCTTAATTAGTGTATCTCTGCAGGAGTCGTGAAGGAGCTTGTAATTGTTGTTTGTGAACAACGAAAGTGCAGGTGCATCAGTTGTAAACAGTAGGAAGAGATCAGGTTTTGACGCATGGTCTCCTTGTTATCCGTTTTTGTCCTCGTACTGAATCCCAGCTTCGTTGGTTTAGAATCCCAAATAGCTTGTATTAGAATGCTGAGCAGTGCTATTGTTATAATAAGATCCAAAAAGTTAACCAAAAGTGAGGGCAATAAGCTTCTCTCTCTCTCTCTCTCTCTAATATTTTGGGGTGATAGAGGGCAATAAGCTTTTGATATGCATATTTATGCTCGTTCTTTCTCGTGTTTAATTTGGAGATATTTTATCTTCAATCAAGGTTAAACAGAGCACCCTTGATTACGTTAAACAGTCTACTCTTGCTTAATAGATCTTTGATCTTTCAAATCAAGAATAAAACGGAACGTGGTATTATTGTATTACTGCTGTATATTTAGTGATAATTTGTTATTGGGTAAGGTGCTTAAATAGCCTAAGGTACTGTTTGTTACGAAATATTAAAAATATGAGATAGGAATTGAGACTAAGATTGAGAAAATAATATTTAACATAAGAGATTGCTTTACATGGGATTAGAGAAAACTGTGCATGTGAGATTGAGGAATACCATGAGAGGAAGTGGTATTATCTAATCCTACTTTCATGGATTTATTTAATCTTATGTAACAAGTGATTATTCATGCTAAGGATTTGTTTTAATAATTTTTTTTAATTGTAATCCTAGTCCTTGTCTTTTGTTTTTAATGATTCGTATCAAACGGGATCTAAAAGTATACATGAAAGAGCACCTAGTACTTGGAAGTGTTTTTGGCTCTTATGTCTTGGAAGTTTTATTTCATGGTATTTTTGTCTTGAACCGTTATCTGTTATTAAATTTGACCGTTTAAAATACTAATTGCACTGCATGATTTATCAATCAAATTTAACAGTACATAACGAGCAGGATATTTTTACTACGAAGATAAATTTTCAAGGTATATAAGAGCTAAAAGAAACTTTAGGTGCTAGGTACTTTTTCATAGATACTTTTGAGATATTTAAGTATCTTTTTTTTTTTTTGGGTATTTATGGCTTCATGGGCCTCCTCTCTCTCTTTTCTTTCCAAGTATTATGCGTTCAAATTTTGATATCATGCGTACTTATTGAAAAGTCCAATTCCCTTTGTGCGATTGTATTGTGGGGTATTGCTAGCTAACTTCAATCGAAACGAGAAATTAAATTCATTTGACAGACAGGATTTCTTTCTTGAAAACATTGGCAGATAGGATTGTAACACAGTGATACATATAGATACACAAAACACTGTTATATATTACCTCCGCTCTTTAATATAAGACTTTATTTTACTTTTATTTTGATTCTAAATATAAGACTCTAATATATTTTGTTTATCATATTTATATATATTTTTTCAAGATAGTCGTTCTAACAATAGTAGTTCTAACCAATACACTTAATTAGTAAGGATATTTTAGGAAAGACAACACCTATTTATTATACTCCTCCGATCCTTAATATAAGACCCATTTAACTAATTTGATTAGATTAAGAAAGTTAGATAAGTTAGTTAATTATAAGAAATATGACATGTTTTTCCTAAAATACCATAATCATCTTTCTTAATACCTTCTTTTCCTCTTCTACTTGACTATGGTTGAGGGAATATTTATAGGGGTAATTTAGAGAAAATTGATATATATGAGAAATGGTTCTTATATTTAGGACCAAAACTAACTTAACAATTGGGTCCTATATTAAGGACTGGAGGAGTATATAAATAACTTAACTTCTTTCTTTAATCTTCTCAAATTAGTCAACTAGCTCTTATAATTAGGATCGGAGGTAGTAAGACGTAATGTTTTTTAATTTTAATTTTTCAAACAATAAAATGCATTTTATTGTACTCTAAAATTAACGTCCCAGTGTTGCACCAATCAGTATCAAAACCTTTTTGAAGTGAATATCAAAACCTTTTACTTCTTAGGCAATATATATATATATATATATATATGGTAAACTGTATTATTTGCAAATAATAAGCATTACAATTTATTTTTAACATTTTGTGTGATGTGTGAAAAATGCGATTAACTAGTCCATATAAAATACGAATGAAAGATATAATATGTCATGTTATCTCTACTAATTGAGACTTTAAACATTTTTCATCATCAAGTGAAATGCTTTTGTCAGTCGTTTGGAGGAATTAGTTTACTTTAATGACCTCTTCGGGACGGGACGTGCCCAACAGGCCAACAGAGGAGAAGAGGGTTGATGTGGCATGTAAAATAAGAGTCTCCTGGTATTTATGTTTAGAATTACTTATAAACATGTTTTGCACAAACTGAGGCAAAATTTTTCCAATTTATTTGTTTTGTGTTCTGTAAATTATGATTGAAAGATTATCTATAAGTTATTTCAAATAAGCTTTTAAATCCAACACTATTAAAGGTGCTCTTGATTAACATTATTAAAGGAGCAACGTCGTTGTTTGGCGTTTTGAAAATTTTGAAGAATACAATGCAGAACTTAGGTCTTTATGGAATAAAAAAGGAATGTAATGCCAACAATGTCCCTTATATCTAACCTGCGGCTAATTAAGAGACACTTGTAAATGATGTAAAAAGAGCTGTCTTTTTTTAAAGAAAAGGAAATTAGCTACCCTACTTCATATGATTTACCAGTAATAGTAGAAAACTTACAATTTTAATATGCCATCATCCTTTTATTCCCCCATAAAAGCCCAAGCCTTCGTCATATTTTCAAAAATTATGAGATGATTATATAATTTTCTTTCTTGCCATATTCTTGGATGTCATTTTACCTTTTGTGTTGCTGCTTATATGATCCCAAACGTGTGAATAAATAAATAAATTTTTATTTACCTTCTATGATCTTGAATGTAGGACTTGATTAGAAAATTTATCGCAAGAGCTCAATTCATCTTATCTTTCAAAGCAAAAAATTGGGAAAACTATTCTTGAGGTACTTATAATTTTCTTCAATTTTTAATTTCGCATCTATATGTTTTTTCTTCTTATGAAATATTTTAATTTTACTATTTAAATATTATAAATCTCTGTAACTTTGCTCTAGTATTATTAATTAGACCATGTACAAAAATTAATTGTGCTAATAAAATAAAATAAAACAATTTAATATGGAAAAAAACTCGTAAGTACCAAATTAAAAATTGAAAGAAATTATAAGTACCTTAAGAATGTTTTTTCTACTCAGTAATAAGAGCATTTTCCAATAATATGTATATATTAGTTATTTAACTGCTGAAATGTACTTAGTCTGATTCTTAATATAAAAGTTAGTTGATTAATTTAAGTAGATTAAAAAAATTAGTTAAAGTAGTTATTAATCTTACTAATCAGGTATATTAGTTAGACTTATCATTTGATGAAACCACTACAATAACTACCTTAGAAAAAAATAGATAAATACGAGATAAAGTGAATTGGGATATTATATTGAAGACCAGATTAAATTTGAACTCTTATATTAAAAGAGTGTTTGGTTAAAAACAAAATCATAATTTTAAAAATAATTTCATAGCATATGAAATACCCTTAAGATATACTCCTCCGGTCCTAATTATAAGACCCAATTGACTTATTTGAGGAGATTAAGGAAGTAAGTTAAGTTGGTTATTTATAATAAATAAGTGTTGTCATTCTTAAAATATCCTTACTAATTAAGTATATTGGCTAAAACTATCATTATTAGAAGGATTATCTTGGAAAAAAATGCATAAATATAATAGACAAAATGGATTAGGGTCTTATAATTAGGACCAAATAAAAAGTCAAATAGGGTCTTATAATAAGGACCAGTATTAAGGAAATAAGTACATGAATTGCGTGAAAAAAACTTTTAAAAAGTGTTTGTTGGCTGAAGCAAATACCCCACTAAGATATACTAAAGAACGTAATGGAGATAGTACCTCGATGAATAGTGGAATTACGATACGTGGAGTTAGAACAGAAATCTAACACAACATTTGCATGGTGCTTTAACTTACCCGCGCGATGATGACTGCAGTCTCATTGTTTGCATCGCCCATTACTCTTCGTTACTATCGAAGCTCCTTGTCGTAACAAAAGGATCGATCAGTTTCTCCGATTCATTTGGATTTCGTAGCCTCTCGTTCTTGTTACCATTTTCACTGCTCTGAGCTTTTGGGTAATACCATGGCTTCTTTTGCCGCTTCAAATGCTGTGGCTTTCAAAGCCGCCGGTGTCTCAGACAAGTTTGGTGGCATCACTAACACCAAAGCCGGTCAGCTGCGCCAATGCTCTCCAATCCATGTAGCCAAAATGGGTCACCTCCGTCCTCTTTTGGCTCTTCACTGCAGATCGAACTCTTCACCGAGTTCGTCTGGTATGGATCTCCCTCTTTTCTCGTTTCTTCCTTGTATTTTAGTCTTTTAATTGGTCTGTTGTCTGGTAGCCTCTCGTTCTTGTATCGTAACATTGGAAATTTATGTCGGAACAAGATTGTTTTATCTTTGCTTGATGTTACGTTTGAGTTTTTTCCTTCTTTGGCAAGCGCAGGTATAAGAGTCCATGCTGCTACTCTCGAGGAAACTGGAACTCGTACAGCCCAGAATGTGGAGGCTCCTGTTGTCATTGTGACTGGAGCATCCAGAGGCATTGGCCGAGCAATTGCATTGACTTTGGGTAAAGCAGGTTGCAAGGTTAGCGGCACTTTTTCTCTTCAAAGGGGGAAAAAAAGCATTTTCCTCATTTTTTTTAAGCGGTAACTGTCACAGATTTGTAATAGTCGAGAAAAAACATTTCTTCAGTTTGGAGACAAATAATTGTTTTTTACGTACTCTAAAGTGGCATGGTAAATTTGGAACGGATACTTTTTGCTGTCAAATTAACTTTGGTAAACCAGTGGATCTTGATCGTCTCTTGGTAATTAAGAGGTTTAGGGAGGAAGAAAGAACTTAAATTTTATTGATAGTTTGCTAATTTTGCTGGATTGTCATATTTTTAGCTAGCTAAAGAAAAATGAGAGACTTTCACTTCCAAGTTTGTTAATGTTATGATATAAGCTTTAATTCTGCCCATAAAGTTCTTGGCTTTTCTATTACAGGTTCTGGTTAATTATGCAAGGTCATCCAAGGAAGCAGAGGAGGTTTCCAAGGAGGTAGAGAACTGCTCTTATGAATTTCTGATAATATTTGTATTGGGACCTTTCTGCACCATAATCATGCTGGATTTAGCCAAGCATAATTGGTCAACAAACTATTGCCACTTGTTAGATGTTGTCATTATTTATAAAGCCAGAACCGTTTGATGTTCTTCTTTTGCTCTTCCCCAGAAGAAAGGATTGTGTAATTTTTTCCGTGCGAAGGAGGCGAGTGTATGATTTGTTCAACTTAATGTTTATATATGATACTGATCATTACCTTTTTCTGCCCCCATTATCGTTTCGTGAATCTTTGTTTTCGGTTGCAGTTTTAGGATCCTTTACTGTTAAGCTATCTAATCTGTGCTTTAAACAGTTCGTGTAGGTCACGTTGATGAAGAAAAATAATTATTTTTGAAAAGAAGTTCCTGAAAACTATTTTACATATATAAATTGGTAGTCTAATATCATTTTCATTCTTGTTCTTTCCATCCTGCAAAGTTATACGAACTCATGCTCGATATCATTTTTGGCATATTGTACTCATGATATCAGCTCATATCATCTGTGTTGTTTGAGCCAGTGCTCCAGAAACTACTGATTGACTATATTCTATAAGAATATTTGATAATTCCTTGCAGATTGAGGCTCTCGGTGGACAGGCTCTCGCCTTTGGGGGAGATGTTTCTAAGGAAGGTGACGTGGAGTCTATGATTAAAACTGTGAGCAAATATTTATGAACAAGTTTAGATTTATCTACCAAGGAAGCTTTATGACTTTCAAATTTGCAGGCAGTTGATGCTTGGGGAACTGTTGATGTGTTAGTAAATAATGCAGGTAACTTGGATTAAACATCCAGTGCTAGTAGCTTTCAGTTGTGAATGTTATACTGAAATAAGGTAACCTAATTTCAGGAATCACTAGAGATGGTTTGTTAATGAGAATGAAGACATCTCAATGGCAGGAGGTCATTGATCTGAATCTCACCGCTGTTTTTCTTTGCACACAAGTAAGTATTTTCCCACCTTGATTTTCATGTTAATTAACGTGATCTTCTGTTGAGTTAAACTGGTTTTTGTTTTGCAGGCAGCAGCCAAAATTATGATGAAGAAGAAAAAGGTGACATCACACGTCATTATTATTATTATTATGTTCACTTTTTTGTGTGGGTATGGGTGTTATTGGACAGAACCTTTTGGCCTTCATTCTGATTGCTCTCTCTGTCGATTCAGTCCATTGCTTTCTAATTCCATGACTTGCAATATAGCATCAAGTAGTCACTAAAGCTTTCAACCTGTGTATCTCAGTCTGCTGCCGTTACTGCAGGGAAGGATAATTAATATTGCATCAGTTGTTGGTCTCATTGGGAATGTTGGTCAAACTAATTATAGTGCTGCAAAAGCAGGGGTCATTGGTCTGACAAAAACTGTTGCAAGGGAATATGCTGGCAGAAACATCAATGTAATTCTCTAAATATGTCACCTTTTATGCCTAACATCAAGTTTCAGGTTCCCAGCTGATGATTTATAACCCGGCATTTCCTTCCAGGTTAATGCAGTTGCCCCTGGATTCATTGCATCTGACTTGACTGCCAAGCTAGGACCTGACATTGAGAAGAAGTTTCTGGAGGCAATTCCCTTGGGTGAGTCATAAGTGACCAAAAAAACACTTCAGCCTCTGGAGAATAAGAATCTCTAAATGGAATTTTTAATTGATAAGTAATTTAAGAAAATCTTGATAACTTGCTCATTCCACTTGGATCCAGGAAGATATGGCCAACCAGAAGAAGTCGCTGGACTGGTGGAATTCTTGGCTCTTGATCCTGCTGCCAGTTACATCACTGGACAGGTAAATTTGTATACTGCCTTTATGGTTTTATAAACAGAATTTGCCCACGTAAACTATCCAATTTATGGTGTGCTAGGATATCTCATGAGCTTAGTATAGTTTATAACTTGCCCTGTCAATTTAGATTCTATGATTTACCTGCATCCCTCCTTTTATTCATTTTTTGAGAACGTATTTGGACCAAACTTGCTTTTTGTCAGGTATTAACCATAGATGGAGGGATGGTGATGTGAATCAGCGATTTCGTGCTACTGGCCACAGAATCTTGACTTCTGCAGTATGGCACTTGCGCAGTATTTCATTCTAGGACAGTTTTTTCATCATATTAGCGAACCGATTGAGTTCAGCTATGTGATTAATTTTGAATAATATGTTTTTATTAAAAATGAATTATGTAAGAAGGGATTCCGAATATAACAATACATGTGTGACATAGGTGATACTTTGGAGGGGTATAAGATAGAAAGAGAAGTTTCGATGTGAAGTCGAGATACTTCAATTAGGCTACTTTAAGAAATAAGCATTGTCTTTCAAGAATTTTATTAGAGTCTTATTATTATATTCCACACAACAAAAAATAAATTACAGATACACTTATTTTGATCAAAATGACTATATTTATAATATAATATAATCATTATTGCATAGGCATTTGCCTGATATAATATAGTTAAGTTTATAAATTTAATTAAGTATAAAAGAGTCATTTGCTAATAAATAAATTATTAAAACCATTAAAAATTTAATATATAGACAATAATTCAAGTCAAAATAAAATCACACTCCACTAAGGGTGTGTTTGGATAAAACCAAACCATGGTTTGGAGAATAGCTTCTGGAGAATAGATTCTGAAAAAAATAGATTTTGGGAAGAATAGATTTTGTGAAAAAGTGATTTTGAGAAGTGTGAGTGTTTGGATAGTTGTTATTAGAAGTACTTTTTATATATACAAATTGGCATAAATTAATATGATAATTATAGAAAAAATATATTTTATGATATATTTTAATTTGAAGGAATAAAATTGTTAATAATATATTTTTATTAACATATATTAATAATATATAAGATAATATAATTAATAAATAATTAATATGTATATATATTTATAAGATATAAGATTAAATATATTTTTAAAAATATGTTTATAAAAAAAACAACAAGATACATATCCTATAGGCTCTCACACTCTCCCCTTTTTCCTCCAAAAGTAAAAAATTTCTGTTTTTCTCAAAACCATGGTTTTGGAGTCAAAACCATGGTTTTGAACCCAAACCATGGTTTTGATTTTTTTAAGGGTGTTTGGCTAACATTTTTTTCAAACCATGGTTTGGGGTACTTGCCAAACACACCCTAAGTCAGAAACAAGAATCCCACTGAACACTGCTAAATTCTAAAGTTTGGTCATTCTACTTCTCCAACATACCACAAGAATCACAGTTAGATCTGTATAGGCTCCTCGACAAAGAGCATGTACATATTTGTAACCCCAATTAATCTTCAACACTGAAATCTCCTCCTTAAATACAGTCTTTTCCAGTTTTGTCAGATGTTCTCGAAGGAACTTATTTTCCTTATGGGTAAATCAAACTTGGAGTAAAAATATGCATTTGAGATCCCAATACTCTGTTTTTTTTGTGTGGTTTCATGAGAAGAACTTGTAGTCCTTTGCTGAAAGGATGATATTCCTCAAAGCACCGATTGGAGATAGCGTCATCAGTAGAATACCAAGAATGATGCAGGTCTGTTCATACGCAAGCATTATAATACATTGAATCAGAAAGGAAAAAAAATGGAGGGAAGTCTCAGAAAAATTATCACTTGAAGACTGAATTTCAAAGCAATGTCAATTTAAAACGTACCCAATTAACCATCCATGATAAGGAAAACCGCTTGGGTTTGTAGATTTTAAGCCATATGATACAGGGAAGCTGCAAATAACAGAGAACAAGACTTAGCAGATGCCAAAATACGTTGGCTTCTTCTTAAGAGAAATCCTTTTCGATTGAAATACTGAATTCCAGTAGCTGATCAAAGCAAAGACCAAGTACAAACACCAATAAAAAGAACCCCTTATCAATGTCTGCCTTTTGGACGAAAAAAAGAGAGTAGAGAATGATCAAAGATGCAAAAATAGCAGTCAAACTAAGAGACTATTTAGCTAAGTAATTAGTAGTAGAAATGTCCTGCCTTGTTCCTAAGAGAAATTCTAGCATATGTAAAGGATGTATTAGAGTTAATCTCATATGTGTGGTTGATTCAATTTTAACCTTTTTCCCCCTTAACATGTAAGGTAGTAGGTAGATAACAATTTGAAATGAGAAAGATTTGGTGGTACTTACAAAGTATGATGTTGGAGCAAAGGCAAAACCTCCGAGGAATCCAAGAAGGGAACTAAAGAAGGGGATCGCTATGGCAATGATCATTGTTACCACTGTGAAAATAATAAACGATAAAGGATGTAATTCTAATTAAGAACTTTGATTAGATAGCATTATCCCATAAAACAAATCCTCATTAAGCTGTTTTGTGAAATTGACGAAAATTACATATATTAAGAAGATTTGTCATTAATGAATTGGTACTAGTATCTAATGCAAATGATTAAAAAAAATAATTAAAAACCAATTTCTAAATAGCCAAAATTAATTTTAATAATATTTATAAATTAGTTAGGGTAAAAAAAAGAACAACAAAGTAAGTTGTGAGAGAAAGCATAAATACAAGTGCTGTACATACCGACATATATAGTGCGAGTAATGAAGCGAAGGAGAATGGAAGGAGGAAACTTCAATTTCACCACCAAGTAGGTTTCCAACATATCGAACACCGACATTGCATACACCTGTTTGTTATGCACCCATTACAGGGGAGATTCTGTCAAGTGCTGTTACTTAGCTTTGCTCCTAGTCTTGCGTCTTTTACTTCCGATGTATTAAAAAAAAAAAAAAACAAAAGAAAGAGAAGTCTGAAAGTGACCTGATAGCCTCCAATAACATGAATTACAACGAAGATGTTAGCAGCCGCAATGAGCCACCTAGGATGCTCCAAACCGACGAGGACATTGTCGGCGACGGAATTTCCAAAGACGTAATATCCCACAATGGCAACAGGGAAATAGCAGAAGGCGACTCCGACGTAGGCCCAGATGACTCCCCTCCACATGGGACCCTTGGAAGGCTTCTCCGGCGTGGAAGGTATGGTGGCTTGGATCTCCAGAGCCACGCTGTGGCCGGCGTACGCAAACGCCACGTCCCCCAACGACGTGAAGAAATTGAAGGTGGCGTCCGCCGTGCTACGTGCCTTGATCGCGTAGCTGATGTCTGGTTGAAACCCTCTTGCCAATGAAGCTGTCCAAGCGATGATCGAGTACCTGTTCTTGCGTAGCACTTATTAGAAACCAATTTCCTCTCATTCATAATCCCATTGTTTCACCACCCTTCAAAGAATTGATGAACTCTAAGAATTAATTAAGAGATTTGCTCAAATTTAGTTTGTTTTGGGATAGTGTTTAGTGCAAATGACTAAAAAGTTACTCTCTACCAATTTTAAATACAACAATCATTTCATAGTTAGCTACAAAGTGATTCTATTTATAAGAGTTCATTTATAGTTTATAAACGAGGTTTTATAATTAGGATCGTAGGTAGTATATGTACTTAAGACCAGAGTAATATTCATTTGGTCTTATTTATAAGGTACTTTCAACATGTTTCATATAAACTAAGAAAAATCTTAAACTTTATTAACTTTTATTTAAAATTTAATAACTTTTCAGCGTTATCACTATTTAGTATACATTATACCTCATATAAACAAAGTTAACACAATAATAAATGAGGGGTAAAATTGTATATCCATACAAATTTTTTTTTTCAGTACCCTATAAATTGAACAAAAAAATATCTTCTCTCGTCCTGTAAATAGGACCAGATGAGTATCATTTATAATTAACTAACTCAACTAATTTTTTTAAATTTAAGAAAAAATATTGTACTTACGTGAGAGACATGACCGCAGCAGCGAAGGAGACAGCGGACATGGAATTGAAGTTGGGGAAGTGACAGAGGACGAAGTTGATGGAGGCGAAAATGACAATCCACCAGGAGCTCTTGAAGGTGGAGCAGTCAGAGCAAATGGAGTCGTGGGCTTTCTTCAAAGAGTGGCCTCCCGTGACAGTATACGCAATGCAAGTTCCCACCTGCACCACCAGCTGCTGCGGCACCACTATGTAGAGGCCCAGCTTCTCCCCAAAAGCATGCTGCCCTAGCTCGTGGTACCGGTCGAATCGCTTCCCCGGCACCATCTCGTGCATCTCCACCATCTGCCACAGCGTGAACAACGTGATTGTCCATGATAGTACCAGCACTATCACCCCCGGTCCCCTGCGCACAACATCATCAATCATATGTTTGTAATCCCTGTCTGATAAATGTCTGATACTAAACGTGATACCTCGAGGAATTTGAAACTATTTAAGCGATTAGTGAATTTACTTGCATATATGCTACCTCCAATCTTCGTTTAACTTTTATTTTGATCTTAAATATAAGACATTAATCCATTTTATTTCTCATGTTTATCTTTTATTTTTTTCAAGATAATTCTTATAATAATAATAGTTCTAGTCAATGTTTTAAAAAAAGCTTATACAGTTTGGGAAGGGGTTTTGATTGATCAAAAAGAAGAATCTATTTCAACCAATATGCCCTTAGGCACGGCCATACATAACATAGTAATCACACTCGGAAAGGGTGGACAAATAGCTTAAGCAGCAGGTGTTGTAGCAAAACTGGTTGCAAAAGAGGAGAAATCTGCCACATTAAAATTACCTTCTGAAGAGGTAATTTGATACGGGCACATTAAAATACACTTGATTAACAAGGATATTTAAAAAAAATAATACTTGTTTATTACAAATAACTAACTTAACTAATTTTTTTAATATACTCAAATTAGTCAACTAGTTTTTATATCAAGGATCGGAGATATTAGTTGAATGGTGCATTCTCATCATGACCAAATAAAAAGGGCATGCATGTTTGGAAGTTTCAAAACCGAACAATACGAATGACTGCAAAACTCATTCCAAGTGATCCGACCCTTTAGTTAAAAACCAAAAGTCAATATTTGGTGGACATGAATCTTCAGCGACGATTACAAAGTTCAGTGAGAATAGAATCAAGGGGGGGGGGAAAAAGAATAAATCTAACTTATGATCATGAACCAAGATGAGATTTTAATTTAGAGACATATATAGAAAAGAAGGTACGTACCATCCCATACGTGACATGGCGAAAGGAAGGCTAAGAACACCAGCACCAACCATGGCAGTGAGATTGTGAAAAGCCGAATACCACCATTTGGCTTTTCTGGATCCGGTGATCGGAAGCCAGTCCTCCAGCTGTTTCTGCCGTGCCGCCGCCGCATCATCAGCCTTGGCCGGCGGTTTCTCAACTTGAGTCATTGCGTGCGTACGATTAACTTCTAATTAACTAGCTACTTATGGATTCCCTAATAATTACCTGTTGTCGTATGACCCCAGTTTAATTTATATGTGTCTGTGGATATATCGGTGGGCAGAGCCAAACGTTATGAGTTTGTGTGTGGCCGGCCGGTCGCTGAAGACAGATCTCTGGAACTAACAGACCATTGGAGATTAATACTTTTAGCTTGAGCTTATCTTGTAATGCTGTTGAGTCTGTTTAGAGTTAGTTATCTCAAAGAATCCTGATTCCGCTAAATATAGAATACACTTTCCATGTATTTAACTAACAAATTCTTCGGATGTAATATTAATATTGTATTATTGTTGTTGTCATCGTCAATTTCTGGAAATAGCAGGTTAATAATATCTTTTAATAATTGTTTGAGGTTTTAAAAATAATTAGAATATAAAAAATCATATTTTTAATTATTTTGAAGAGACTTTTAAATGTTAGGATATCATGCATGAGAGAGAATATTGAGGAAAATACGAAAATAGAATAAATTTTGAAAATTATGAAACAATATGATTATAATTAAATACAAAATAATATTTACTTTTTAAATCTCTGAAAAATCTAGTAATAATAATTTATTTTTTAATGTTAAACGAACCGCCCGTATTATGCTAACATCAGCTTTCTTTCTTTTTTAACAGTTGCCCATGGGTTTTGATTAACTCTTGCTAATGCTTACCCAACTTTAGATTCAAAACTTAAATAAATGTTCAATTAAAAATGATATTGAAAATGCTTGCATCAAGTTTATGTAACATTCTCCAATCATACATCCTATTTTTTTGAGTTTATAATGTGATGATAATAGCTTAAAATAAATACATAATTATGTGTAATCAGAAAACTTGACATAATAAATATTAAAAACTTGTCCTAAGTATTCTCCGAATAATATTAACTGCGATTCAATCATTATGCTGAAAAATGCTTGTATTGTAATTAAGCCAGTGAATTTAAAACTTATCCACCAATTAACAACTCTAAATATGTTTTATTGTAAAATTATGTTTTTTTAAATTTCATTAGATATAAAATGGAGAGAAATATTGTAATGAGAGGCAACCCAATTTCACTAAATACTGGCCAAAGTTTCTCACCTATATTTAACTAACTTGTCTCTATAAAAAAAAAAAAAAGAGGATAATTCAATTATGTTTGTGTGTGTATTACAATTTACATAACAAGTTACCCTATTTAATCACCTTAAATTCTAGAAGATTACAACTCATCTCATCGTTTTAATTGATATTACAATATTGTTATATTAAAAATATGAATTTCTATAGCTATTTTCCCCAACAAATCTTAGTAATCATTGTAAATAACAAATCAACATGGTAATATTATCTTTAGTTCTTAAAATTTAATCAATCACATTTTACTTTTTGTCTCTAAAATTTGGAACCAATAATTTTAGTTCTTGAAATGTGGTTTCGTTCTAATTTTGATTTCTAAAATTTGAAACAAGTGATTTTGGTCTTTGATATTTAAGGGGTGTTTGGCTCTCCTCCCAAACCATGGTTTGGAAAAAAATTTGTCAAACACCCCTCAAAAAACTGAAACCTTGGTTTTGGGGGAAACCATGGTTTTGTCCCCCAAAACCTTGGTTTCAGATAATGGGACGGAGGGCTGCTTCTACGCCTTGCGAGAGGTTTTCCTGTCTCGTTGACGAAGAGCTGCGCCTTGCGAGAGTCTGTGAGGGTGAGCCTTGAGGTTTAAATAATATATTTTACAAAAAACATATTTACTTATTTTATTAATATATATATACGTTTTAATTTTAGTTATTTTATTAATATATATTATTTATTAATATATATACATATTTAATTATTTTATTAAATCATTTTGCAAAAAAACATATTTATTTATTTTATTAATATATATATACATATTAATTTTTGTATTAATATTATTTATTTACTTCAAATAAACATATATTATGAAATATATCTTATATGTAATTATCATTTAAACTTATATCCTTTTTAGTAATTTCTACATATAAAAAAGCACTTCTGACAACAACTATCCAAACACTCTCACTTTATCAGAATCACTTTTTCAAAAAAGCTATTCTTTCAGAATCTATTCTTTCCAGAATCTATTCTCCAGAAGCTATTCTCCAAACCATGGTTTGGCTTCATCCAAACACCCCCTTAATCTTACTTTGGTTGTCATCCTTATTTCAATGACCAAAAAATTTAAATTGGACCAAAATAAAGTTAAATTTTAGGAAACAAAATCATTAGTTTAGAATTTTAAAGAACAAAATCAAAATAATGTCATATTTCAGGACTAAAAATGCTATTAATCTTGTATTCTATCTCAACAATATATTTTTAAACTTAATTTGAAGCGAGGGCCATTGTTTCAGTTTGTTTACCGTTTTAAAAAGATACAACTGAAAATCATTAAAAAAATTATTTTAGTTTTTAAAAATAATCAGAGACTAAAAAGTCATATTTTTTTTATTGCTTTCCAAGGATGCTTTGAATAACATACGAAAATCATTAGAAAGTAAATTATTTTTTATTATAATAATCACGTGCAAAATAATTGACTCTTCAAAAAATCTCAAAACAATATGCAAATAATCACTTATTTTTTAAGGGTAAAAAAAATGTAACCTATTATTTAATTCGTTATAGTTTTTTCATCTTGGTCCCTATGTCTAAAGTCGCAAGCAAATCAACTTGGGTCATGGGGCAGCCTTCCCTTGAACCACGTGCTAGTTGAACCGTGTTGTCTCTTTAATTGATGCCGCATTTTTAACAAATTCAGTTTAAGATAAAATATTTCACATTTTAAAATAACAAATTTCTCATTTTAAAAAACTAAATTATACTTTCAATCGTTTAATTTTATATTTATTAACTTTAAAAAATATATTTATAGTTTTTTAATCCAAAAATTATTAGTATAAAATGATTATTTTTTGTAATAATTATAATTGTTTTGAAAATTAAACTCGATATGTTTAACATTTAAAAATGTCTTATCAACATTTAAGATCTCAATATTATTATTTTTTGTAAATAATTTTAGGATTAAAAGACTAAATTTAAAGTTTAAATGTGCAGTTTTTGTGAAATATAAAGCTTTTGTTATCTTACTCCCATTTTGTTATCTTATCTTTTCTCTGAACAATGAGTATATATAAAACATAGTCTCTAACTCTTTCTCAGCACTATTTTATATAAGATTTAATATTTAATAACCCTTTATTTGAGGGAATGAAAATCCATATATATGAGCCACAAGGTGCTGGTTTATAATTTTTCTAATTGGATAAAATACGTAAATGAAGTTTAATTTGTGACACTAAATAATTTCAAATGGTATTTTTACAGGTAAATATGGAAACTGACAGGGTATTGATGCATGTGCTTTGTTTAGCTTTATTAATAAGGGTTTTTTTTTTTTCATTGAAGCAGAAATTGCTTTTGCATAGGGTCATTAATTATGGAGGACTAATTAAATATATCATGAGTAGAATTGGAAATTAATGGACAATGCATTAACTAATGCATCTTCCGTATCTGAATTTATTCACTGTAAGTTTGGCAAACTTGATGGTATAATCCTCTTGGGATGAATCCTATGGCCTATAAGTCGCTGCTATAAAAGTTTTATTCGCTTTGATATTAGGATGCTACTTGCCAAACTTGATTTGATGTTCATAGCTCACCCATATCTTATTTGACACTGGTCCAAATGGACCAATTATTATGCCTTCAAAATGAAGCTCACATGCTTGGAAAAGTATTGCTGATGTCTGGCTGGAAACTAAGATGGTTATCCAGAGCTGGGAATCAGGGCCGGCCCTTTAGGGCTAGCGGGTTTAAAAGTGCCGGCCCTGCAGGGCTGAAATTTCAAAAATATCCTAATTTGCTAGGTTCAGCCCTTAAGTTACAAGGCTCAAGGTTGGTCCGCGGGCTTTTAGCCCGTTTAAGAAAAAAATGTTATTTTTTATATTTATCATCTTTTTATTAATAAAAAATAAAAATAAATCAATGAAATTATTAATAAAAGACATAAATATGAATAAAATTAAGTCACAAATATAAAATATCCTCGTATATAAATATCTATCAACATCTAAAAACATCTAAAGCATTTATTAACAAGATAACAACATTCAAAAGTTTTATTTATAGTACAATTGTATAATAAATAAACACTATTATTAATCTCTTGAAACTTCATCATCACTATAATTAATTACTCTTCTTCATAAGTATGCTTTTATTTCGTAACAAAAATATCAAGTTTTTCTTCTTTATAGGAATTTTACTTTTAAAATTTTCAATCTAGATATTATTTTCTTTAATATGAGAAATATTGTTGTTGAAACTCATGAATTTCTAATTCAAATTATAGAATCACATGTTATATAAGTATAAAACTACTCTATTATCAAATATACATAGTTTAAACATATCAATGCATATAATATAAATCAAATCATTATTAAAGTCCAAATTAACCCATTTTTTTAAAAATTTAATTGGATAAATTATTATCTAAAAATAAATTTAATTTTAAAAAGATAATAATAACTAAATATTTGAAATATTATTAACAATGTAAAAAATTAATAACATTAGAATTATATAAAAAAATTTACGAAACAAAAAAAATTATAAAAGGGCTTAAACGGGCTGGCCCGCAACCCTCTAGGGCTGGTCCTTTTAAACCCTCGGCCTTCCAGGGCTTACTTCCCATTTGAAGGGAAAAATATCAAACCCGGCCCTCATAATTTCAGGGCTTAAACGAGCCAGCCCGATGGGCTCGGCCCGTTTTCCCGACTCTATTGTTGTCATATTGGATTATGATGATGGCAACCATGTTAAGCCCTGCTTTGATAACTGGGTTGGACAAAATAACAGGCATTAGTTGTAGCAGAAAGGGC